TACATGAATGGAAGAAAATGCATTTGAGTAAAAATGCAAACCGTGTGAGCTTGCTGAGATGTTTCGTGATGGTTCAGTACATGGTGATTGTTGCATCCCAAAATTTTCCCTCTCATTTCCAAGGAATCACCCTGGATCCTCAAATTGTCTCTCATCTAAATCCAAGCCTTGAATTATCAATTTTTCAAAGAAAATCACTCACAAGGGCAAAATGGTCATTTGCATACTAGAAGTCTACCTTTGACTTTTTGGATCAAAATCAAATCTCAAAAATCATATTTCATCAAGACATGTTGGAATATGAAGTTTGCTTCATCAAGAGTTTCAAAAGTCAAATTTTACTTTGGAAGAATCAAATTCTAAAGACTTGGAAATTTTTCTAAGTATTTAAGAAATATGACAATTTCAGAACTTCTGAGCCAGTGTTCACAGTCAGCAAATTCTGGATGTTCTCAAGACAGAGTTTAGTCAGAATTTCTAAGCCAGTATTCACAAAGGTCCAGTTAGAGTTTGCAGAGGTTAAGTCAAAGAAGGTAACAAAGCATGTTGTAAGTATACTGGAAGTTCTGAAGGATCCCTCAGAACATGCTGAAGTCAGAAGATAAGAGAATCAGAAGATGAGATACTACGCTGAAGCAGAACTTCTAATCCAGAGTCAAGCAAGGATCCAGAGTTTCACATGGGAACTCATTTAATGCTCACAATCGCCACTGAGTTTGTATTCAAGGGATTTTCCCCACGTGTACCCCTACTGTCTTGGGAAGACAAACTTCTGTGCCAAAGTATGCTAGACCCATGCACTATTTCTACTTTTCCTTAATTCACCCTGCCAAATCCAGCTGAGGCGCTGTTAACCATCCAACTTGAATGCATTGAACCCACACTTGTTAAGCTTACTTCAAGAGTAAGTCAGCATCTAGCATATGATGTTGGTGCCACTTGACTGCCCTAACTGCAAAACTTTTCCTATAAATAGAATATCATTTGCACACTAAAAAGCTCTCTCCCCTTGACCAGAAAAATTTGTGAAAGAGACGAGAAAATTGAGAACTAGCTTTGAACCACTACAAAATTTCCAAGAACCCAGGAAACTATAAACACAAAATACCAAAATCTTAGCATTGATTCCTTATATTCAAACTCCATTTTTCCTCAAGTGTTCTTGACTAAAGCCATCCATGTAGCTGCTGATTCATACCTTAGAAGCCACCTTAACTTTTGTATTCCTATTACCATACGCTCTCCATTCACTTTCACCAAAGGAGTCAGAATATCACCCGTTGGCTACCTCAGAAGTTGCAAACTTCTATCCTGCTGAGTACGTGAAGAAGTTGCTCAGAACTTCACCAGAATTCAAGACCAATCTCCAATTCACAGAATCCTTTCCAGCTGCAAGGTAAGTTTTCTGCTGACCCTTATCCTAACTGATTAAGCATTGTTAGATTTTGCATATTTAGCACAATGTAGATATCCTGATTCTGAGGATGTACATATTCTAAAATTCATGCACCTGCTTTCCTAAGTAGAGGAAATCCCAGTTCAGAGCTTCATAAATAAAATAGGACTCAGAATTAGAACTAGCAAATACATGTTGCTGCTGATTCTAATATTTCATGAAATTTATCATAACTGTTATACATGCAACTTCCATTCTGCAAATGACCAAGTTGCAGATGTTCTGACTGGCATGTAGAGAGACAAAGTTCTGACAGTTGCGTCAGAACTTCTGAAGATCTTTTGAGTTCTTAGAAGATCCAGAACTTCTGAACTTCCATATTTTTGCTAACCTGTTTCTGTTTGTGCAGCCAAGTCAGAGTCAGAACTTCTGACCTCTTCTATTTTTAGCACTTTGCGCTGATTATGTTTTCCTTGCTTCTTTTTTATTTTATTTTTATTTTGCCATCATATTATATTTCATTTTTAATAAAAAAACACCAAAAATATTTTACATTTGTATGATATATTTTCTTTTAATATAAAAAGATAAAAAATATTTTCTTAAACAAAAGTTATTTTCTTTTTTAAACAAACAAACATTTCACATTTCCTGTACATTCTTATCTATTTCAATATGGTTGTAGTAGTAACCTAGAATTTTAACTTGCAACCCCCATTCATAAATATGTACCCCACCCCCCTAAATATTGTAATAGCGTAGCACTTTACATTGCTGCATTGTTATTGCTTTCAATATATGCTAGTAATTAGGGTATGTATGACAAGATATGAAAATTGACAAATAAATCACCCTAATCAAGACAAACTATGCATGCAATCAAACACACTCGCACATTTACACCCTTAGGGTAATTCCACTTGTTGCCTTACAAAAATGGCCATGTTATGCATGTGGGAGGTCTTAGCACAAACAAATCGAAAAAAGATCATAGTCCCTCGATGATGCTATCAAAAGTTGCCTTTCAAAATGATCTTAGTCCCTAAATAAAAAGTGTTAAGTTATCTCACAACATTGCTATCATGGTCATACGATGACCCAATACTCGTCCTGTCACATCCAATGGTGGGGATTCTTACCAAGTCAATGGTAAGATAGCAACATCTAAACAAGGAAGAAAAGCACATTTAAAGACCTTTTGAGTAGGTAGATTACTTTTCGTTACTTGCTCACTCTCAACAAACATCCTTGCTATTTTCAAAATAATCACATACACTTTCCAAACATCTTTCCAAACCTTGAAATATTTTCAAAAGCTCAACACTTTGCATACATTCTTAGGAACGGGAATCATTGCAAAGTTCGCCTAAATGATGGCACCTTTTCAAAATACTTTCAAAACCATACAAAAGCACAATTTTCAAACAAAAGCAAGTGATCTAGCAAGTAACTAAGAGCCCGTGGAAAACCATGGATGGAAAGGGTTCTAATACCTTCCCTTTTCATAACCTACCCCCCGAACTCAAGAAAATATCTCGAAAGGTCTTTCCTATTCTTTTTCCCCTTTCCTTATTGGATAAAAGAAAAGTCGGGTGGCGACTCTTGCTCAACTGCAACATTTGCGAACACAAACGTAAACCAGCGTCAAACAGTCGGTTTTGCCACCGTATCACAGAACTGGCGACTCTGCTGGGGAAATCCGATTCTAAAAGTGGGGTTACCTTAGGGTTAGATCACATTTACTTGCTTACATTATTTGATTTGCTTGCTTTATATTTTGGTTCCTTGTTTGGGTTTATTTTAAATCCTACACCCGGATTTGGGGATACCTTTTAGGTAAGTAGCAATAAACTGTGAGGGAACTGTGCGGGGTATACCGACACGGTTGAAGCAGTAGCTACGTTGATGTGGCACTTTGGTTGGTACAGGTAACCCTTGAGTCAGTCAAGGAGAGTATGGGGCCGCCGCGTGGTGTCGTAAAAGCATCAACTGACCTTAGAACCTTACTTGACCAACTTGGCCATTAGGACGTAGTGAGATGACCGGCTTTGGTGCAGTCTGAAGTTGGTTGATACTCGATGCTACACTCATTGAGGTTTGACTCTTGAGTTTTTTTTGGTTGCGAGCCAATCGCTTATTCAACGAAACTTGGGGGAAAGATCAGTGATATTGAGATCCCTTAGAACCCGGTTACTTTTAACTAGGACAGGTTGAGCCAACTAAACTTCAAGAAGGTACTTACCTGAAACCCCATGCAAGCCTAAACTGGGGACTTGTTTGCTTTATATATACACTTGTACATAACATCATAAACATCATAAACATCATAAGCATCATAAACATCACTAACCATTTCAAGGATTTTTGGATTTATCTTTGTTCTGTTTTGTAGGACATGGCCTCCGCTCGTAGGAGCACTATCCAAGTCAGTCTCGTAAGGATACCTCCACAACTCAAAGATTTGGTATCAAGGGTCCCTGCAGGTTCTCCGTTCACCAAAAGACATGGTCGACTCCTTAGTCTGGTTACCTCATGTATTGAAGAAGATATGGTAAAGGTGCTTGTCCAATTCTTCGACCCTTTACATCATTGCTTCACTTTTCCTGATTACCAACTTGTGCCCACTTTGGAGGAATTTTCTCAACTCATGGGGATCCCTATTCTTAATCAGTTACCTTTCAACGGTATTGAAAGAGACCCTAAACCTGAGGAAATTGCTCGAGCTCTACATTTGCAACCATCTGACATAGTAGCAAATTGGGTAAAAAGGAGTGGTATTAAAGGGTTACTAGCAAAGTCTTTGTTGGAGAAGGCTCAAGAGTGTTGGAATACTTTGGATCTACAAGCCTTCGAGTAAATTTTGGCTCTTATCATCTATGGGTTGGTACTATTTCCAAATCCTGACCAATTTATAGATGTAAATGCGATCAAGGTTTTCATATCCCGTAATCTGGTGCCTACATTGCTTGGAGACATATTGCATTCTCTTCATTCTCGCACTTTGAAGAAAAGGGGGACTTTGATATGTTGCACTCCTCTGTTGGCTAGGTGGTTTATTTCTCACCTACCCCGATTTGTGGTGAAGAATGAACAAGGTATGATATGGTCTAGAAGATTGATTTCACTTTCACATGCTGATATCCGTTGGTATTATCAATCTTCGGAAGACATTACCATCATTGACCGTTGTGGGGAGTTCCCTAATGTCCCTCTACTTGGCAT